AAAGCTTGAAAATTTAATAGAAGGCTCCTAATATGTTGTTTCAAAGGCAGATGAAAAATATTAAAAATCCTTAGTCACAATTTTTTTTTATAAGCATTTAAAGTTCAAAAATTGACAAAATATGGAAAAATCACGAAAATTAGCAAATTATTTTGAGTTAAGAATTCGTAAAAATTTTTCTTTTTAAATCTAAGATTTGAAAATGTAATATAAGATTACTCATAAGTTTGTCTACCTTTATCAATAAAAAAATCTCTACCGGAATGTCAAATTAAATTTTTATGAGCGTTTGAAATTCAAAATTTTACAACATTGGATGTTCACTCGATTTCTCATGTCGCGATTTCCTTATTTTGTTGTAATTCAAAGACGAATAACTGTAGATACATGAAAATTTCACTGAATGTTTATATTAGCATTTCCTATACACCATACGATTTTGAAAATATTTTGACTCTTTTTGAGCGGTTTACGGACATTTTCATTTTTTAATTTTTTTAGTTTTTTTTTCTATGAATATCAATAAAGTTTTATCTGTTGGGCCAAAAAGTGTAAAAATTTAATACAAGGCTACTGATATATTGTTACAATATCAGTTGAAAAATATTAAAAATACATTGGCACGATTTTTTTTTATAAGCATTTAAAGTTGGAATTTTGACAAAATTTATCAAAATCTCGAAAATTATCAATCGTTGGAATTAAAAAATTATAAAATGTTCAGTTTTTATAACTAAGAGTTGAAAATTTAAAACAAAGATTCTCTTAAATAATTCATACTGTAACCAAAAAATCTAAGCAATAAATGAACACAGTTATTTTTTACAGACATTTTAAATTCAAATTTGGACGAAATTACATATTAAAATCAATATTAACGATCTTGGTTTTTTGTTGTAATTTAAAAATATTATTCGGGGATATATGAAACTGAAAAATCAACACATTATGGCCTATCCATACAATCTACCATAGTATAAGGAATAAGAAGTATGCTCAATGATAAGACTGTGCATATTTTAAGGGGCAATGAATAATTTATTCATAAATTCCATATAATTTAATACCATAAATAAGTATATAATATGTCTTATACCTAGACTGACATACCGCCTCCGCTCAGAATCGTTTTTCTTATACAATGATATTATATCATTGAATTCAAATTTAATACCATCCATCATACAGTGACCCACTTGTAACCTACAGTACAGCAGAGCGACATCCACTTACCCACCTTTTTTTTATAATACATTCAATAGATTAATTAATCTCTTCACAATTGCAATACAAAGTTTTAAATAGTTTAATCTGTTTCAGAATGTTTTCCGAGTTTTTCAAAAGATATTTTATTAGATGATTTTCTTGGTCTATCTGATATATCAATCAGGATAAAAATCTAATTTACTCATAATAATAAGCATATGGTGTATTATAAATCTCTAAAATATTTAATCTATCTATCTATCTATCTGAACAATAAGTATATCCATCAGATATGAACAAAGGTGGGCAATTTAATGAAAATAATTAACTCAAGCTAAGTTAAGCTAAGCGGGGACATGATCGATAAGTTGACAGTTAACAGTTAACAAATTGATGCGGACCTGTGGGGTGCCGCGTGGATGGTGAGGTGATGGTGACCAAAAAGACACGATAAATAAAATCAACAAAAGATATGCACTATAGTAAGCTGGTGTTTTTATTTGAAGTATCAATCATACAATAAATATTGCGAAACGGTATCGGCGGTGTTAACTAAAGTAGTCGTTCTTTTTCTCGCGGGGACGTGTGTAGCGGTCTGTCTCCGGGTCGCTGAGAAAAAAAAACAAGTGACTTCTCCGAGCGGTTCGCCGAACGGCCGGTCGACGAATCACCGACAAAATATATCCGGTAAAATATAGCGTGACCAAAATATCGCAACCAAAGTATCGCGAAACCATTATATCGCATGGAATAAATATCGCCAGTATATATACCGCCAGCATAAAATATAGCAGTAATTTCAATATAGATAAATAATATATTTCAAGCATATAATATTGTTATATTAATATATAGTAGAATTGATAAAAATTATAAAAATATGTATAATTTAATAAAATTGATACAAATTGATTTAAGTATCAAAAAAAAAAATTAAATATGTATATTAATTAATGGAAGTATAATATATTCAATGAAATACCTTGAAGATAATCTTCAAACTCTCGATTATGATAATCTGCTACTATTTTCTTTACTCGTTCAGCCCAACTGACTGTCTTGTTCTTTTTATTTGGCGTATTTGGATTTCCTACTATACTTTGACTTATTTTAATTTCCGTTAGGTTTTGTTGACGTCTCAAACCATTTATAAATTTATAGATTCAAGGATGTTGAGCAGAAAGTGAAGGTGAATAGAAGGTGAATACGATTAGATAAGATAAAGTCAAAATGCAATATACAGACGCGATAATAATGTACGGCAGTATTATTTCTTTACGATATAATGGTTTCGCGATATTTTGGTCACGCTATATTTTACCGGAGATATTTTGTCGGGGTACCCCGGTCGACGTTTCCAGGCGCGGATGTCGCGCGCCGGCGTCGTCCGTCGTCGATTGGTGGTTTGATTGAGAAGCCACTCCGCGCAAAGGCTGTTTGAATTCAAACAAATTTTGCGCGGGACCGCGTCAAAATCATACATTTAAGGTTTAACTCGATAAGTTAAAAGTTAATAGGGACAAAATATTAACTTAACTCAGTTTAAAAAAGGTAATATACTTTTTTTTAATTAGTATGTGGATCACATAATTAGTGACTGCGTTCTTTCTAATTTCCTAAATTATTATAATAAACAATGTTATTTGACTTTCCTCGTAATGTACAGTGTCTATACCTACCTATTTTACTTTACATGATTATTAAATATTTAAAAACCTACGTCCTACACTTCATAATAAATAATTGTATAAATATTAATTTTTATATACCAAATACAAATTAAGGTTATATTATAATTATTATAATCTTATTAATTATGCCTATCTAATCTACTATATAATATAAGTCTATTTACAAAATTACTTTATCTCGAAAAATAACAGAAATGTTTGTATTATTATAGTATTGGATTATTTTTATTTTAGCATTAATATTTAGGTATAAAACCATAAAACCGAAAAATTTCAAAAATGTTTAACTTGATGCTGATTATTGTTAAATAAACTGAGGAAAGCTAAGTTATTTAAACAGTCAATTAAACTAGTTGAATTCATAAGTTGATTGGAAAACTAACTAACTAGTTAATGCCCACCTTTGGATATAAAATCAAATTTAATAATGGAGAATTTAAAATGTGTCTTGTCACTGTAAATACAATTTTTTTTTATTTTTTTGAACAAGTCCTTCAAACGATTTTCCTAAGAAACATTTAAACATTTGGTAAAAAAATAAGTTTATAAAGTAGCAGGTAATATTAATTGGTAACCTACAGATAACTTGATAACAAAAGGTGATGGCTCTGAGGTAACGTACACTCGACTGACAGCATACGAATAAATTAGAAATATGTGGCTTCCGTCTTAGGACAGCCTGCACAGTCATCGGAAATCGGTTACTTATTCAAATAGCCCGCCTCGGCCTCCAACTTAAAAGCGATGGTGGCCCCTAGCGGACCTTAGAGGCAATTAGCATTTAATATTTTAGGTACCAATTATTATTTTCTGTAATATTACGTTCCGGTATTTTACATTCCACAATTGACTAAATGGCAACCAGTCAAAGTTTCGATTAAAATTATTGAATTTTTCACCAATCATACTAGAATTTTATGAATTATTATGAAATTTTGTTTATTATTTTTGTATCCGTAGGTTTGCAGATATTATTAAATCATTTAAATTTAAATTTGAGGAATTAATTTACCTCAATTAGACGTAAATGTTAGTTCAATTACGGATACAAAAATAATAAATAAAATTTCATAATAATTCATAAAATTCTAGTATGATTGGTGAAAAATTCAATAATTTTAATCGAAACTTTGACTGGTTGCCATTTAGTCAATTTTGATTTTAGAGCTATGGTAAAAAGGACCAAATCGACTTAAAAAAATTCGGTCTATCCGAATTTGGTATTCAAAACACCTGTTGCCATTTAAAAAAATGCAAGTTGTATTGCGCATGCGCACACGGAAAGATCTAAAAATGTAAAAATCATTAAGAAATGTGTATTTATGTATTCCCTATCCCCTCCTGAAAACCGCATATTAATCCGATGTCACTGGACAGAATTATTTAGTGTTACCTTTAAAAGGAAACAAACTGTATACATGACAATATACATAATACATGGCTATATAGTATAATATACATCTCGATTGCTATATATAATATTATTGTTATCGATTTCTGATAATGGACATAGAAAGATAGATGATAGATTTTAATCCGTGATAACAAATAACAATAATATTATTTTGTCACTGCAAGAAGTGCATATTTTGTACTGTAGTGAAGTTAAAATACTTCTTTTTACTGCGGTAAATTCGTCTGGCGCGTTCCCGCCCCGTCACCTACAAGTACGGCCAAAGAAATTCATTCTGTGGTACGAGCACGACGACGACCCTTCAAATGCGTGTAGCGGCGGCGGCGCCGAAGTTTCGTGATCCACACCTGATGCCAAATCCGTCGTATGACCTGACTTGACCGAATCTGCCTACGAAAGTGAACTCGGCCTACCGACTGAGACACGCGTGTGCATTCAACTGTTTCCATTGGTGCTAAACGTGTTCCGGTACTCGCGGTCTTCAGCTAGCTTTCGACATCCCGACGCCGCGGCACCGTCGCTTACGACCCACTGGCCGAGGCCCCGGAACACGTGCCGCCGCCGACCAGTGTTCGCCGTCCAACTAGCCTAGGTCTTCGACCTGCTCTCGCCTTCATCCTCCGCCACCGCCATGAACAACTCCGAAGGCCGAAGTAGTCGCAGTAGCTGCTTAGTCAGTCATCACTTCAATGATCATTCGTCTCCCGAACACGCTGCACAGCTGTCGCCGTTCCGCCGAGTTCACTCACCACTACAGTGTCGGTTTCTCAAGTCTCAACAACTTCGTGTCCGAACCTCATCCATACGACATGAGCCAGGCAAAAGAATTCGGGTGGCGCTTGCTTGCCGCTGAGACGATTTTCCACTCGTACGACTCGTCTATGGTGAGTGAAAAACGACCGTTCACCAGAACGGCACCTGTTCCTAAGCCATTTGGCATGCGCTGTTCTGTTGCTCTGATTATTGCTAGTCATAGGTCCTCTACGGTTCATCACCTAGGTGGAGACTGACCATTGGTTTATTTAGATTAATTGTTGGTTTTATTTTGTTTCCTTACACACGGGTAAGGCCTGCTGGGTCAACTAATCGGGGGTTCGGAAATCAATCCCCCGTCCATTACAACGTTGTACCTTTTCGTTTCCACTGTATCCATGTTCCGTAGTACACTGATTGATATTTATTTCTTATAAAATCACTTCATAATGACATATACTCCTGAGATAGGTAAATTACCTATACCTAAATAGTAAATACCTAACTACTCAACAAATAAATTTTAAACCATTCTTCTTGATAGCAGATGTACAATGATAATTCTTACATTTTTCTCACTATTGTATTTTTACAGATATTTTATATATAATTTATCAATTATTATTAATTTTTATAGTATGGAACACCAAGTGTGATCAGATTTGATGAACCTGTGAACATTCGTGAAATCAATATTCTTTCACCATCTATGTATATGCGCACTTCAAGCGGAGGATTCCTTATTGGGTAAACAATATATTCTTAATATTAAAAATGACTAGTTGAGTGGCTGATTAATTATGTGTACCATAGCCAACAAGTATAGTTTAGCAGCTAAAATATTATCAACCATAATTTATTCTTATAGTATTTAATTTTTTTAATTTCAGAGGAACTGATCCTATAAAATTTCCGGTTACATTTCATTGTAACAATGTAGATGAAGACACTGCTTCAGCAAATGTGAAGTTGGGTGAGCTCAACTATGAAGAAGATGCATCTATGACATTCAGGTGTGACAATGAGGTAGTTAAGGTATAAGAGGAACTTTAATTTTATTTTTAATTAAACTTTTCTTGTAGATATGGACAAACAGATTGATTGTGTTTGCAAAATATTCAACATTAACCATTGTTGTATATGGGACATCAAAGAATTATAATGCTAAGGAACACTTGAAAAATCTCTCACCTATTCAACGTATGGGTGCTAAGTATGCAGATGGCACATATGCATTTGTTCCAAACTATCCAAGTGAATCCAAATTATAAAATACTTAAAAAAAAACTCATTTCTTAATTTCAATACCATTACTGATAATTGTATTTTTTTTACTGATTCATAAATAAATATTAGGATAGAGAATTTATTACAATAAAGTATTTTTTTGGTGTCAGCTTATATTTTATAACTTTTATAATGTTTGGTTTTATATATTATTGTCATATTTTTTCATAAAAGTAAATTTTTGGATATCTTTTTCTGTTACGACTAAAATAGATATTCAAAATTAATAGGGATTTTTTTATATAATTTTACAATGATTTTTGATGTAATTTATTATTATAACTATTTAGTATTTACTTTTAACACTTTGGTATATGGGACGTTTAAATGTTTATTATTTGTGTAATTGCAATAATATGGGCTTTATATTTGATTAATAATTATACATATTTTGTTACGGGTATTATTGTTTTCTTAGTCAACTAAACATTATAAGAATATAATATTTTACTTACACACATTTAAAAAAGTTAATTATGTATTACTTAAAGTTAAAATATTTCATTATTTATTATAATTTAAAGTTATTGTTACTCAAAACAATTGTAACTAATCTTGGTAAGATAATTAAGATCTATAACTTTAATATCACCCTGTACGTGTTTTAAAATGTCTTTTTAATTTCCAAATATTGACTTAATTGCAAAAATTCTATTAAAATTCTATTAAATAATTTATCATTTTTATTTATTTATTCTGTAAATGGTTTAAATGTTGAATTCTACCCTATTGTTATTTTCCAATTTGCAATTTCTCATTTAATTATACACGATCAATTTTATCCAAATATAATGTTGGTTATCTAAAATCTAAGACTATTTGTAACATCATGTATTTCAATGTACTAACAATGTCTGAACATTACTAAGAATAAAAGATTTTCCACTAAAATTCTGTACAGTTGTTTATACATTTTTATTTACCATTAAACATTTACCTAACCAGTATTCTTCACATTATTTAGTGTAGGTATTCGTATATGGTATATCATAAGCTCAACCTTGTCAAATATGTATAATTTATAAATGTTTGTAATTTACAACACAATTTATTAATACTGACATCTAGTAAACTTTATAATAAATTAATATAAAATTGCTAATTATTTTTTTTAAACTTAATTTTCAAATTTGAATTATTTTAAACAAACTGTTATTTTCTTATAACGCATTGTATATTTCATTTAGAATACTTCTTGTTTAAGTTTACCTGTGTACTTTAATTTAGAATATTTAATAAATAATACTGGATTCTAAAGAGAAATATACTACAAAATATATTCTTTGGAAGGGTTTGAGATAACTAAATGTAACTATAATTGATACTTTTCGATAATTTATATAAAAGAGATTTAATGATCTTCAAAAATAATTGTTTAAATATTTGCTCAAATAAGAAAGTGCATAAAATTATATTATACACATGACAAAAAAAAAAATAGTATTTCTTTAGTATTTGGTCCCAAGCATCTTAGTCATGTTAGACATTAATACATTACACATTTTTTTTACTGACATTTTTGTAATATAATATATAATCTTTTATAACAGTTGCTGTTGCAATAAGCATACAAGTGTAGAGAAAAAATATAAGTAGGTACATGATAATATGAAGACTAGAGGATAGTAGTTACCCAGCAGTACCTCACACTCAGACATTATAAAGATTTGTGTGACTATTTTTAAATTATTATTTTGTTCGACAAATTCAATTATTTTGTTTTTGGCTGTATTTATGTGGAGATTAGAGCGGGTCCATGGTCTGGACCCAACATCTTGTTTATAATGGTCATTACTCATTATAATACATTATTATATTATTATATTTAATATAAGTCCATATATTATTGTATAATTTGGTTAGTGATTACCAGGGCTCGGGACTTAAAGCATTTGCTTATTTTTATAGATTGACTTAAAATGTAGCAGAGTGCTATAGAAGTGTATGTCATGTTACAACACATTCAATTATGAAATTTGAAAGTGCTTTTTTTTGCTTTTTTCAGTGATTTTTCAAAAAATTGCTTATTTCAAGTTTTTCTGATAATCATTGCTTTTTTGACCAGTTTTTATACTTTTTTATGATTTTCTACTGCAAAGTTGTTTTTGATAGAATTAAAATTAAAAATAATTTAAATAAAAAAATTAATTAAAAAATTAATTTTTTTTTCAACTATTTGTAAATATTGTTTACATTTTATTTTTCAGAAAATCCATAAAATCCTCAGTCCTGAAAATGAAGTTTAATTTTTTTTATAATATAAAGATAAAGTTTTATTTTTTATTTTATTGTTGTTTTTTTTAATAAATATTTTTGCTTAAATTTAAGTTTTTTAAATGCTTATTTGAGTGCTTATAATGATGTTTTTAAGTGCTTATTTAAGCGCTTATTTTAATGATTTTAAGTGCTTTAAGTCCCGAGCCCTGGTGATTACCCACAAAGTCTTTTCGTTACCTGTATTATGGTATAGATCAGGTGTCGCTATCAAATGGTGGCCGGTGGACTAACTTTATCTGGCCCCTAGACAGAGAATTTATTATTAATTTTTTTGATGATGAATTAAATAGCTGTTTCTTAATTATAATTTTATTTTACGATTCTGAGTGGAACGATGAATGTATTGATTTTATAATGATGTATGTTTTTTTTTTAAAAAATTGTAGTTATTCACGATAAGTAGTCGAAGTAATGCTTTGATTTTCAACTTTGAGGGTGGTTTCTGATAGACAATTTGATCTACTTGGTACTTTTGAGAGCACATAATGGACAATATTCTTACTGATTTTCAAAATGTAGTGTATTCTGAGTGGTGCGAGGGATCTAGTGGTTTTAAAATGGTGTTTATTTTTATTTTTTGTATCCTGTGCTTCGATTTAAACATATAGTATAGTATATCTTATATTTTAGCTAAAAATGAGATTTTAATTTCTAACGCTTTGTTTACGCCATAGAAAAGAATAAAAATAAAAATAACGATTTCAATTATTTTGTTGTACTTAATTTATAATATTAATTCAACTTACAGGCTATAATAAAATATAATAACAATATAAAATATCTAGACTTACGAACCGTCTCCGCTCAGAATCGTTTTTTGTTTGCAATTAATTGAAATCATTGAATTCAAATGTCATACAATCCATTATACAGTGACACACTTGTAACCTACTGGGACACCCACGTAGCAGCTTTTTATATTAACATTTTACTTACACCATATATTTTTTTTAAATACTTTGATTCTCTTTTAGCTATTTATATGCAAAAGAAATCTTCGATTTTTAAAAGTTTTTTTTCAAAAATGTTTTGCTCCGTCAAAAAACTTGCAAATGTAATAGGTACAAGATTCCTTATATGCTTATAAGTGTAATTGAAAAAAAAAAATAAAAGTAGTGTAAATTCACAGTGATTTTCATGAGCATCTGAGGTTAGAATATTATGATACAATTCTTCAAAATTACTAATACTTGCAAATGATTTTGAGTTGGAAATTCATAAACAATTTTCTTTTTATATCCAAGTTTTGAAAATATAAGTACTAAGATTTTTATACGTATTTCTATATTTGACAAAAAAGAAAGTTCACCGGAAAGCCAAGATAATTATTTAATATCGATTGATGTTGGGATTTTTTAACCTGTAAACTAATTATTTTCTTATTTTGTTGTAATTCAAAAACAAAAACAGTAGATACATGATTTTTTCACCAAATGTTTATATTATTATTTATTATTATCTGATTCATGCATTGTATACCTAAAATATTTTGAATGTTTTTGAGCTATTTATTGACATTTAAAATTTTTTTTAGTTTTTTGTTATTAATATCGATAAAAAAACATGTTCACTCAGTCAAACAACTTTAAAATATAATTCAAATTTGCTCATAAGTTATTGTAATATTAAGTTAAAAATATCAAATATATATAGTTATTTTATGATAAAATTTGGAAGAAATTAGACATTGAAACGTCTAGTTATTTTTTTGTAATTTAAAAATATTGATCGTGACCACTTGAAAGTCTTAAAGCATATTATTATAATTTATACATATTGTAATGACATTTTCAAATTCAATGTTTTATGCAAAAATTGCCAGTGACAGACCGTGTTCGCTCAGATTCGTTTTTTCTTTTACAGGTACATTATACAATGATAATATATCTGTGAATTAAAATTGAACAGGCCCATTACAGTGACCCATTCGATACCTATACTGTAGAACAGAGTAATCTCACTTGCCCATCTTTTTGACTTTGTCTTTACTATTTTTGGATAAACATGTACATTACTTACATTTTGATAGGCCCCTGAACTTCCTAAATTCCTAAAGTGGCCATCCAAAAATATTAATTGGTAATTCTTGGTATAGATGTGAATATAATATGATGAAGAAAAATTAATTTTTCATGATTTTATTAAGTTGTATTTTTCTAAATACTTACCTACCTATCTATAATTAAACATTTTTATTTCATAAGTATAATATTATTTATCATGTTTTTTTAAAAATATTTTTATTTCAAAACTTGTATTATAAATCAACGATCGTGGAATACATATTTTATTTTTAGTATATTTTAAGTTAATATAGAATAATACAAAATACATGATATTATGAATGTCTTTGCAGGATACTATATAATAGGTCCTATACCTAGCTAACCTATCTATGTTTATAGTTACTTCAAGACACGCCTAATGTTATTGTTTTTGTATAAACATTACGAATTGCATTGTGCGATTGAAATGAATTAAGTTCCTATATTTTTAAGTAATCAATTCCCAAAGGTTACCTGCCTATGCAGTATTTTTCGAACAAAAAACATACCAACCTATACTTACCTAAGTATTATGTTCTCTTAATATCTTATATTAAATATCTGCGTTATACGACGCCGCGGCCTTGTTACCGGCGGCTACGCGTGTCCAATGAAAGGAAAAACTCGTTTTGACAGTTTGATTTAGTCGTATCCAATATTGG